TGGGTATGGCACAACAGGAAAAGGAACGGGTGGAGATGGCTGAGAATTGTATTCCAGTGGAGTCTTCATATGGGAATACTCAGGGGAGCAGAGGCAGGTTCAAGCTGGAGGTAATTAGGAACCATCTGAAAATTGACCAAAAGCCAGCAGGAAAGTAGATCGTGGAACTAGGACGTTAAGTCTCTCACTGAAATGGACACTGCAGGAGTTGAGAGACAAGCAGTTAGCTGACACAACGATTGGACTCATCATGAGGGCTAAGGAGGATGGTGACGAAAGGCCGCAGTGGGAATCCTTATCCACCGACTCACCATCAAGCAAGACCTATATTGGGTCCAGTGGGAGCAGCTGAAAATTCAACAGGGAATTCTGTGTCGAAGCTTAGAATCAGATGACGGAAGACAATGTAGATTACAGGCAATTTTGCCGGTATGCCATCGGGAGTGCGTCCTGGATGAATTCCATGACAGTAAGACGGTGTGTCACCATACCAGGGAGTGTACAAAACCTCACACAAGGTTCGACAGAAGGACTACTGGGCGGCAGTGTATCGACTGACATATGTGTGTTCCATAATTCAACAGTACACAGTGTGTGCAAGAAGGAGTTCCACAGGCCAGCTAGAAACCTCTTACTTTCCTTCAGCAATATCATCATCGTCGTGACCATGATACCGAAAACTCGATATAGTATGGACCTGTACAGCAAGCAATCACCTGAAGGTCAAACTATTTACTGCCTGCATTGAGTCGGTGCTGTTCTACAGTGGGGCCAGCTGGACGCTAACAGAAACGCTCGCAAAAACCATTGACGCATCACATCGAGCTTTGCTACGCTACGCACTCAACATCAGATACCCCAAACGCATCACCAATGTTGAACTTTATCGCCAAACCAAAATCCCACAGGCATCAACAACCCTTCGCAAACACCGCCTACAACTGATTGCCCACGCAACCAGGCGTGACACACCCCTCTCATTGCTCTTGGACAAAAACAACCAACCTACAGAACCATACCGAAGAGGTGGCGCACTTATGCGAACCTATCAACAGCAACTTCTGGACGACCTAAAGATGGTTGGTACGGACCTGACTCAACTACACCAAGCTCAACAGTAGAAACGAACAATTAATATGTTATTATGCAGCCACTAAGCAACGCCTGTGCGCTGCTCGCGCACAGACGTCACCATGATGATGATGATATCGACAGACCAGGCCTATGGCAATATATATATTTACAACCCAACAACGAAAGAAAAACACCAGACAACTTCTCTCTTGTTCTGATCTTAATCTATTCACATCAAATTATTTACAAATATTTACAACTAAATTCCTTAATACAATTTCTTTGGCTGATCAATGAGAAAATACAGGTATCTACAACTTCTTAATTATCTTCTACAAAATTCTTCAAGCATTTCGTAAACTCACACTCAAACAAATAATCTGGAGCAGTTTCTTTATACAATACTTAGGTTAAACTATAGTCTACCGGTGTATAGAGGAGTTGGGCGCGGATATCAAGGATACTGGGTACTGTCTGGATCCTGGCACGATCTTTGGAAACACCGCGGAGTCCGGGTGTCCTACGGCCTCTTCAGATTAACATCTTGAGTCCATCCTTGGTCCTGGTAGCCTCAAAGAGCCCCGTCAATCTTAATGTCTTGGTTTTGGTCCCTCAACTCCCAGCCATCTAATAATTAAAAACATCGAACCATATTCCAAATAACACACTTTGCTAAACTGCTGAACATTCGAAAGACCAATTCTAAATTCAACTGCTTAGTGATCACTTCACAAAACTGTTCAGACTATCCCTTCTTTTAGCGAAACACAGGGTGAATTAAAATGTCAATACGAAATTCTTATTATCACAACCTTTCAAATACTTTAAATAACGTCATTGTAATCATTAAAAGTCACATAACTGCTTCAAGAATTCTTACATCAAATGTTTCAAAACTAGCGCTCATCAGATAATTGCAAATAATTTTCTGCAACATTAATATTAATAATCCTGAAATCAACTCATAATTTATACAAATACATTATTTTGTGTCTACAAACTGACTTATAATTATTAGTGTTCAAAATTATCATAAAATAAGTTTGAAATAAATACTTACGGTTGTTTGGTTCTCAGAACTGCAGAAATTCTTCCTTGGTGTGTTTACATGAGCCAAAATGCTCTCAAGTCTTGACAAATCAAGCACTGATTTAAAGTACTCGACAAAATGTAACTGCCTCGATTAGGAAACTGATCGCTGAAGAAAGGCCTGCTGTAGCTTGCTACACTTCGTGGCTAAGATTCATGCGATCACACACAGCAAAAACACACACATCTGTCTTCTACCAATATTTGATCTGGTCTGCCAGCTCACTTCAACGCATCTGACACCCTAATACCCAAATCGCACGGAGTAACAAAAGACCGATTCTGAAACGATGCATTTGATGCTATTGGAAGAAACTTTTGAGACTAAACTATTTAAAAAAAGGGGGAATACACAAAAACTTCTTACAAGGGGGATGACCACAACAAGAAACGGGAGCGACAGCAAGTCAGCCAATCAGAAGGAAGGACCAGGTCAGCGTGCAATGCAATTTCTACCTCCCGCCAGACCCAACCCCATCGTCATAATCGGATGAAGCAGCAGCCTCAACGTCCCCTGGACAAAACTTCATCCACAGGCGGCTGTGAACAAGTGGAGCAGCATCAACAGAATTCTTCCTCAAGTGCCACAACCATGAGGCATATGTGTTAGTTTCCAAAATGCGGTAAGAACTTTTCTCTAAAAGGCAAACCTTACCAGACATGCTAAGGAGACAAACCATGAGGGCAGTGATTCTGCAACGTTTGTGCGTGGAACCTGTGGTGATTTTTTTCACTGGGAAGGCTAGCCTTTATCGTCATGCAGAAAGCCGCAGTCATTGGTACTTGTACAAGCACTCTGCTTCCACACCAGCTTCTCCTCTAAAATCCACTCCAGCTCCTCCAGAATTCACATCTGCTCCAAAATCCATTCCAGCTCCTCTTCCAGTCTCGTTGAAACTCCTCCGGCAGATCCAGGCAGAGACCCCGACAGTCGACTCGTCGACAGAAGGAGAGATGGAGATGGTGGACTCCCAACCCATCCCAGCCCGGGGAACCAAGACAGACCAGCAGCAACCCCATGGCAAGCGGACCCGAGTTATTGAGGTCACAACAGTCTGATTTTTTGTAGTTGCATCCTGTACCACCAGGAGCAAGTTACCCGGAACTTTTGTTTGTATAACTAGTTGTTAACAAGGGCGGATCCGGGGGGGGGGGGCAAAGGGAGCCATGACGTACCCCCTCTCCCCCCCCAAAAAAGAACCCCTTTTTTTAATGTGACGTCGCAATAAAGGCAGGCAATGTGTACAGCACCATCTTTTCCTAAAAAAACATTGGTTAAAGTGGTCACAAACTGAGAACGACACGAAAAACGTGTTCGTACTCCGTCATGTCCGATGTAAACAAGCGTTACTTTTTTTTTTCTTTTTTTCGGGAACGGTAAGACATTAGGTTGGTTTCCTTTCAACCAGATGTTTGACATAGGCTAAGTAAACAATCCAAAACATAAAATTTTCGGGGATTTCAGGACCTAGTGCCTCTCGGTGGATCCTGCCGGCGATCATTCGAAAGGCGAGGGGAGGGGTACATTTCACGCTAGGGGGCGCTCTATTTCCCTTTTTCTTTCCATTAATATTTCACGAATCCGTAGAGGGCCAGGGGAAGGGGCTGAGCAGCGATTTAAACAAATAAAGTCGTCTTCACTTCTCTTCTTGTTTAAATATAAAAAAAAGGAAAATTACACGTTTCTTGGGGTGGGGGCGCCATGCTCACGGTTTGGCCCCCGGATCCACGTGTTATATTCTATTACCTTCATTTACTCCAAGGCGTTTGCACTTAAATCAATCAGTTCCACGAAACGATGTCTTCCGATTCTACAACACGTATTGACTAATTGCATTAATCTTCACATGCCTTAGTTTGATTCATCCAGGCCTACAAACCATGTTTAACTATGTTTCGATCATGAGACCACTCCCAAAGTCCCAAGAAAACAAGCTTAAAGGATAGTTTTAAAAAAATCGCCTCGCGTGTACAGTATATTACCAAACTAAATATCCGCCAGAAACTTTCTTTGGAAATCTGCATGTAGGCTATATTTTAGAAAGTGCACGTTGACGAGCTTTAAATTAATTCAGTTAACGAACAGACTTTGCTATGGAAATCACGTGAACTATTTTAGTATCATGGAATTAAGATTGGAAGTCCAAAAGTGTTGCCCTGAATTGTTGGCAATGGGCGGAGGAATGCCCAAAGTGCTAGCCTGGCGCACTAAGCGAATCCATAGGAGTGATATAAAATAATAAGAAAATAATCAACCCGGCAGCGGGGTTTGAACCTAGTAATTTGTTCAACTTTTTAATGAGAAATTTGTTTTCTGATTTTAGCCATTAAAGGTGATGCGCACTTCCTAGGAAATCGCAAAAATCGCGTCGAACTAAAAACATTACGGTGGGCACTGACGTATCGGGCACCTCTCACGCTAGCTTCAATACAGCGCGAAAGGTATATGCTCGGAAAGTTCGCTGCCGAAGTTCCCCGCAATGGCGACCTCTATCGCGAGGACCTCTATCGCGAGCTGCATGTGGAAAAATATCCAAATGCAGTCTGGATAAACAGAATAGTTTAGGGGATAATTATTAAGCCACCTATAATATTTTTATGTTCATATTAAATTCGACTAGCTGAGTGGCGTATAGACCATCCTCACAAGTTTAGAACGTTTCCCCAGTCATGTTGTTGTTTTTTTAAATTATAAATTTGCCAACAGTGTCCAACAACCCGTCCCGCCAGTACCTCACTGTTATATTTTGCTGCCACGAGTAATACCTGATTATTAAAAGCCCAAATCATAACATTATTCGGAAACTCCAATAACCGATTATGTCTACAGTCACCGAATACTGGTAATCGATACTACAGGGCGCGCTACAAAACACTAGTGGAAGATGACATTGACAATGTGACTGTCTAGGAATCGTCCAATTTCCAACCTGTCCTGGTCTGGTCTCTTTTTTAATCCCAGCCCGATATAAGTAAGACATATTGGGAATTCTTGGTAGGAGTTCTGTTCTCAATATGTCCTCACAACCACCACAACGGCCCAGGCGAAATGCGTCTCCAAGAGCGGGACCTCAGCCTATGCGAGCAACGTTACCAGTCACACTACAGGTCAGACAGAGCAGTCCAACACGGTCTAGCAACGGGCGACGCTCAAGTCCTGCGCTGGCGTCATCACCTACACAGCCATGGACCACAGGAGAAAACCACCATAAAGTCAAACATAGACGGTCGCCTGATCACAGAGCCTCACCGGAAAGAAGTCCAAGTTCACCAGGTTTCAGGGGTGAGGAATTGTTTGGTGGTTTTCTAGTCCGAGTATAAACTTGGACCCAACTTATCGCCTTTTTAACATTCGGACATGGTCTGGCGATAGTAGGGTCCAAGCTAATCTGTATATGCCGAGCAACACAATTTTGTCCTTGACCCAAAAACCCCAACATTACCCAACCAAAACATCAGATTTCACCCTCAAAATGGCCTACAAATTACTAGATACGCCACCTGAGGTACAAGTAGACATCGATGATTAAGACGGTTGTACTGAAGTTTACTTACGATCCGGATGAAAAGTGAAATTTCCCGTTCAATTCCGAGAGCTCCCCTCACAATCGCGAACACGTTAAATTTCCGACCCGTTCAAATGTTTGAACGAACGACGTGATGTGGTCTTCATGCCCAGCGTACATTCGATGGTCCCCGTATCCCAAGTGCGATTCCGTTACCGAGCGCGATGCATCGATTATGATAATGAGTAGACTGGATCTCGTTTGTAAACACAAGTATATTTCGAACGATGATAGGGAGTCAGGAACTAGGGCAGCTTTTATGGGCGGAAACCAGTTCAAGCTAGTTCCCGACTCCCTTTTTCTGTTCGAAATGAACCTGTGTTTACCAGCCCTTCATTTAAAGAAAATCCAGGAGAGCTATAAATCGCACTCCTCAAATCATTCAGGAGGGCAAATCGCACTCCTTAAAATCCACGGATAAACAGACCGGTTAAACTTAAACATTGTTTTTGTTTTGTTCTGAATATCAGGATTTACTCAAGTGGCTGCATTATTTTTAGTTTTGCATAATAATATGTTCAAGTGGCGTTACTTTCTTTTGTTTTTGTAAGACAAGGTAAAATTTATTTTAAAAAACTAATTAAATGGAGATTAATAAAAGGTTTGACTTCAGCTTACGCTTTAATTTGTTAAAACAGTTGTCAGTAGTTTCATCACTTAATTATACTTGGAAAATGGAGTCGATAAACGGCACATAAAGCGATTGAACAGTTGTTTTCAGATTTGTTAAAATTATATGAACATTTTCGGCCTGAATTATTTCCATTGTAATGCGAAAGCTATACAAAAAAGGGCCACAAAAAGTGACAAAATCTTGCCTTAAATATTATCGAAAATATTTGACATCGATAATCTTGAAAATAATGGAAAATGCAGGTCGAGTATACCATATGCATAACGCTAGTCACGACGAGAAACTGGCTAACAATGTCTGAACTTCGCTTGGTATGAGCGTGCGTGCGGTGGGCGAAAGAACCTCGTTTTACGGTAGGAGATTTCGGTGAAACACGCATCGTTTCACTTCATATACCAGTAGTATTTCCTCGAAATAAATTCATGAACACAGGAAATACATACACAGACAAGAGAGATCAAGTTCTGTGAATTAGCTTGCAAAGATCGTGTTTGTCATCGATGTTTTCTTGGCATTTTTACGATGTCTATTCCGTCCGGCCTGCATGCAAAACACTGTACTGCAGTGCATTGCACCGCGCGCGTGACTATTGCATTGACTGGTTACCGCATTTCCATCATGCCTTCTTTGGTCCTTAGTGCGCGGCGCAGCGGGAATCAGTCACTGCTGCACTAGCACGTTCAGGCCCATGTGATTTCATACATGATGCAGCTCTATGCTATATGCAGATAGTGCACGTACAGTATACAGCCGGCCATACGATCTTTGACGGTATGTACATGTTCTTGTGCAAGCTTGGTGTTCGTTCATTTATGGCAAAATCCGGCGGAATAAACATGAGTTTGGGCATTAATACAAACGAATAATACGTGTAGCTTAAGACTTAAAATCCTTTGCGTTTTTATGACTTCTTATTTTTAAACTGCCCGTGTTTGATAAGCCCTCTTTTGGATTTTTGAGGTGCGCTATTTTTGGCGCTCCTTCGAGACAGTCGGAGAGCGCAGTAGGAGCGCCTGCGCGTTCGCGCTCCTTAAAAATGAAGGACTGGTTTACAAACGTGATCCAGTCTTCTCTTTATCATAATCGATGCATCGCGCTCAGTAACGGAATCGCACTCGGGATACGTGGACCATTGAATGTTCGCTGGGCATGAAGACCACATTGCAACATTAACACGAGTCGGAAATTTAACGTGTTCACGATTGCGAGGGGAGCTCTCAGAATTGAGCGGGAAATGTCACTTTTCATCCGGATTGTAAGTAAACTTCAGTACAACCATCTTAATTATCGATGTCTACTTGTACCTCAGGTGGCGTATTTAGTAACTTGTAGGCCATATTGAGGGTGAAATCTGATGTTTTTTTGGCAATGTTGGGTTTTTGGGTCAATGACAAAATTGTGTTGCTCGGCATATACGATTGGACCCTACTATCGCCAGACCATGTCCGAAAGTTAAAAAGGTGATAAGATGGGTTCAAGTTACTCGGACTAGTGGTTTTCAGTGTTGGAGTAGGCCTACTCGTACTCATACTCGTACTCGAGTACCAGCCGAGTACACGCAATTACTCGGCCCGTACTCGACTATCACTATCAGTACTCGAAAATAATTTGGACTTGGCCCGTACTTCATTATTTGTACTCAAATTTTGGCACGGACTCGTTGGCACGGCTCCTACTGGAGTAGTAGGCCTACTCGGGAGTACAAATCAGCTTTATGGACGGTTGTATGAATGTAATGATTGAATAATACAATTTGATTTACATCACCCCAATGCAAAATTCCATCTTAATCTTTTATGAATAGTTAATGCGGTACCCGCTGCTATGTACATCAGATTCGAACCAGCCAACCGATCCCGTTAGCTCGGTGGTCGAAGCAGGTAGTCGTGGGTTTGAGTCCCACCCGAGTGATTTTTTTCCAGTATAAACAGTGTTTATACATTGGTGAAGGGCAAAACCTAATTTGATTTGCATCACCCCAACGCAAAATTCCATCTTATGAATATTTAATGTGGTACCCGCTGCTATGTACATCAGATTCAAACCAGCCAACCGATCCCATTAGCTCGGTGGTCGAGTGGTAAGACATCTGCGCTAGAAAGCAGGAAGTCGTGGGTTCGAGTCCCACCCAAGTGATTTTTTTTTCTTTCCAACTTTCACTCGGGAGGTAACACACTGAGTATACAGTGTTTATACGTCGGTGAAGGGCAAAACCTAACTTGATTGAATATATTGTCATCAGTTTCGGATATAATTAAATGGGGATTGCATGTTGTATTTGTTGTATTTAATTTTCTTTTCTTTTATTCATTCACTTGCTTATTTATTTATTTTTATTTATTTATCTATATATTTATGTATATATTTATTTATTTTTGTACTTTTTTGGTATTGTACTTGGACTTGGACTCGGACTTGGGTACCCGGACTCGGCCCAGTACTCGGCCTTGAATGCACTCGTACTTGAATGCACTCGTACTCGGTGCTTTGGACTGGGACTCGTCACAGTGTACTTGGACTCGGCCCTTAAAGTACTCGGAGTACTCTGTACAAGTTTGGATTTGAGGACTCAACTCCAACACAGGTGGTTTTATGAATAGCCTACCAATGGAGCTACATGTATGGTTCTGGTTCTGGTGGCTACTGCGCAAACACATCCTAAGTGGTTATCTCGCACAGCTGTAAAAAGGATGGGCCTACTAAAAAAAAAAATTCTAAGTAGGGGCCCAGACCTTTAAATTTAAAAAAGCTAAGGCAAAGAAGTGAGAAAGGGTGAAAAATATTAAAAGGAGGGTTTCATGTACATGTACATGTACTAGGCCTATTCACTACTACATGTACATGTATTACTAAGTTATAAAAACTGCTCTGTACATGTAAACACAAATTACGTTTGCAAACAGTGCCCCCAACCCAACCATCAAATAAGCCCCCCCCCCCCCCAACCGTACAGCAAGTGTGATTCAACCTACCGGTACATGGAGTAACATTTGTCCCCAACATGTCTTAGGGAAGTGTCTAGAGCAGTGGGCATGTGACATGCATGAAACTTTCGAAAGATTATTATTTGGAAAATAAGATGACAAACGAAACTTGTAAAGTGGTGTCAGGATTACTACATTCTTTCTGAAAACTCAGTGTCTATCGTTACAGCAGCAGAGTTGTAACGAGTCACTGATTTTTGTGACTCGAGTCGAGTCGAGTCGAGTCATCTTAAAGAAGTGTGTCTAGTCATTAGGTGAAGAAGGTCGAGTCGAGTCGAGTCACAGTGCAGTCGAGTCGAGTGAAGTATTTAGCTCGAGTCAATTCGAATCACAAATATTTGAACACTATACAATAAAAAAACACAAGAGAGAGAAAGTCATTTTGGGGCTTTTTTTTACATTTGGGCTACTACATGTGGTGACAACACATTCGACTCTTGAAAATAAAAGGGGGTGCCAGCTGATCGCCATTCAACTCATGGGGACACTGATCAAACCACGTATGTACGGTATATTGTATACATTATTCGCGAACATTCTAACATGACGTGAACCAAAACTGGCACCGGCGTAAGTCATTGCAAATATTTTGTGCAAAGTTTTGCTTTTATTTTGGGGACTCAAGTCTTAATAGCCTTCCTCGAGCCGAGTCGAGTCATTCTGATAAGGGACTCGAGTCGAGTCATTTGCTCGCAGTGACTCGAGTCGAGTCATTTGCCCTTAACCCTAACCCACCTCACTCCTCCAAAATCCTCCTGGCGGTTTTGGAGGATTCTAGAGGATTGAGGATGAATGGTGATTGAATCAAATGAGGATTCTGGAGGATTGAGGATGAATGGTGATTGAAGCGCATGAGGATTTTGGAGAATTTAGGATGAATGGTGATTGAAGCACAAGAGGATTTTGGAGGATTGAGGATGAATGCATTTTGAGGCAGGACTGTCTGATGATTTTGAAGGATTTGGCGCTGGTTATCCTTCATTTAAACACGAGTGCAAAGTTTTGGGATGAGGAGGATTTTGGAGGATTGAGGATGAATGCCGAATTTGAGGCAGGACTGTCTAACAATTTTGAAATATTTAGGCGGAGTTGCAAAATT